AAAAAAAAAAAAAAAAAAAAAAAAAAAACATAAAATTGTAAATGAAAGCAATACAATTAATAAAAGCACAACAATATTGCAATGTGAAAAATTTCAAATTATAAAAAGAAAATTTCAAAGATAATACTTTAACAGAATTAAAATAATAATTATAAATCGATGCTCCGATATTATAACTTAGTTTAAAAAAAATTATTGAAAATTCCAACATAAATATTTCGTTAACGTGTCTATTAAATTTGAATGATTCTGGTTGTTGGAACTATTAACGGGAAGAATTCAATAAAAAATTGTATATTCAAACAGAAATTCTAATAATTTACCTAGAGATGACTAGGCCCGGCCCGGCGAGCGGGTCTTCCATGGGTGACCTTTAACCGGCCTACGGAAAACCAAGGGTTGGCCCGGTCCCGACTGGTTCCATCCTGATCCCAACTCGGTCCGGCCCGGTTCCAACCCGTCGAGACCAAAAATAGAAAAATCGGACCCGAAAACGACCCGTAAAGCCACGGTGACTGTTCTCAAAACCGAAAACTTATAGGCCGGTTGCGAGTCGGGCCGGCGTGTAGACATGTCTAAATTTACCGTCTAAAAAATTGTCGTTGGAATTATCATATTATCTTTTAAAACTTTTTAATTAATGATTTCTCAAGTTCAAAAGTCATCAATCAACCTATTAGAAGGCTGTGTGCATTTAACTAATGTTTTCCCTAATTAGTAGTGAAATCAAATGATCTTTTGTGCACTGTACAGCACTGCAAAAATAAATGCAGTCATCATCATCATCACTCACACATATACATGTAAAATTTTATGGCCTTTTTGGGGTATAAATATGATATTGATTGATGGGGATATTTAGAGGGACATATATAAGTTAACCAACTGTATTTTATTTAGTTTGGCAAAGGTTGGTGTGTTTTGTGTGTTGTGTTAGAAATTGTGAAGCAAAGTATAGCAGACATCACTTTGGAACCTTTCTTGTCATTGTTGAGAGAGACAGACTAATCAAAACCCTATCAATCCCTACTACTCAAATAATAGGCTAGGCTATATATAATATTATATATCTCTAATTAATTTATTATAAGTTGAGTTTCTATTGACAATGATTTATAATATTTCTTTTGACAAAAAAAAAAATAAATAATTGCAATTATAATTCAGCTACATAATTTTATTCTATTTTGGTGCTTCAATAATATAGTTTTAGTTTTAGACCTACCTATATTTCATATTAATGAAAATGATGTGAGTACAACCACACTTGCAAACTCACTAAAATATGACCAAATTTTAAATTTTTAAACAGATAGATTATATTTCTGAAAAGGGTGATTACAAGATAAAGTAAGAAAGCCAAATCCATAGTTAATTCATACTCAAAATATAACTCACCGTTAACCTAACTTCAATATCATCAATATTATCAATACTAGTACAACGCCCTTGTATTACACGGGTGCTTGCTAATTTATTCTTAAAATCTAAAATAAATGTGAAAAAGTAGTTGAAAATTTAAATACCTTTAATAAAAATATACATATTGTTATATATTTAGTATGACACTTTTTATTTGTGCAACTTGCATGTGTTATATTATAATAATTTTTTTAACTTACAATATATAACTACATTAAGCATAAATATATCAATTGAGAAATAATTTTATTTTTCTAATGAATTTTAATAAATATTACTATTTTTTATTATTATAAATATACATATAATTTATTTATTTCATATATACAATATGGATGTCAAATCGAAGATCATCAAAAGATGATTAATTTGATATATTATATATGTAAAACCGATACGAAATACAGAAGTTATCGACTTTTAAAATACATTTATAATTCAATAGCTAATTGAAGGAAACAAATCAAAAGTCAGAGATATATTAGTCACTTAGTGCCTCAGTATGTAAAATTACAAAAAATAAAGGGTTATATTAGTACAAGCGATATTACAATACCTAAGTTAGCTAAATAATATATATGGAATGTCCAAACCTATATTATTTATTATTAATATATAAATATTATTTGCGCAAACCTAATTACGAAGCATGATTCTCTGCCTAGTAGGATTCCGAAGAACCAGAAGCAGCCACGTAGACTCAGCACATTCGAGAATAATATATAGGGTGGATAATTAAATAATATCAACCAATTATTTTTCACATCACATCAATTTTAATTTACTATTCATACTCTTGCATAATTTTAACTAACAATCACTTCACACCATCTCTCTCATATTTTTACATCAAATCAAGTTTAATTATTTTATTTTAAATATTATTTTATTATAAAAATAAAATCTCACTAATAATTACCATACTATTTTTTTTTTCAAAATTAACCCTGGTTAATAAAAAAAAAACTCATTTCTAGTGGATTTATTTGTATACAAACATGCTCTAAATAGCCAATTAGAACCACCATCTAAACAGTGTAGTATGTGTGGAGGACTAACAAAAGTGTCCTAGACTAAAACAAAAACATAAGAAAGAGGAATTCAAGCTTCCATCAGCGACAAAGAGCGCTGAAATCGAACGCTGGATGCCTAAAACTAAAAACTCCCATAAAGTGAGACTACTTACTTCAGCAATTGGAGTATACCTACTCCACCAGATGATATAACACACTAAATAAGTAAACGCACACTTAAACTAACTATAGACTACTACCTCCCGTCCTCAATGTGAGCAACCCACAACAAAAACCTAGCCTAGCACACAAGCTAATAATCGCACAAAACAAACACAAGTTAGAAACCTAAAGAGCTACAGAAACAGACCACGAGACTAAAAAACCCCACGAAGAGGCTAGAACGAACTGGTGGAAAGGCAAACCCTAGTCCAGATATGAGCTCCTAAAGTCGATAAACTGGGGAAGAACAGATCCCAATGTAATCGACTCGAATAGCTGTGCTGGAAGAACCCAAGCCCGCGCGCCCTAAGGGGGGCCGACCCACAAGAGCCAATCGAGAGGCCACCAACCTGAAAAAGACTACGAATAATGCTAAAGAAACCTTCATCCGACCATCACGAGGCAGGAGGCAACGAGACGAAGCGACGGCTCAGAACCTAGCCGGAGAGAGGGCTGCACGGTGCGAGGCGCTGCGGACCCTCTCCCATTCACGACAGCGGTTGAAAACAACGACCTCGAGGCGTAGCGCGAAGAGGGCGAGCAAGGGCTTCTTTGTCAATCACAACCGAAGACGAGGGGCGACTGATTGGGGGTTGTGGGCTACCGGCGAAAGAAAGGGAGGTCACGACTAGAAGAAAAGAGAGGCCGATGGCGATGAATTTAGGCCAACAAAGAATTGAGGCAAATTGTAATTTGGCTATCGACCAATTTCTAATTCATGTGGGACTTTAGTTGACCACGTCAACCGATATCTGAAACAAAGTTTCATGGCTCCCCAATCAATTTTCCCTTATCCAACTCCTCGGGCTTGATCGAGGTCTTTAAAAAAGTGGAAAAGATAAATTTTTTATGTCTATCTAACTATGCTTTTAATAATCACCAGTGTAAGTTATGTCTAACTGTTATACAATCATACTTTTTGAATATCTACATATAATTTTAATCCGGAATATCATATCTCTTAAAAGTAATATAAACAAAAATATCATATTTCATATTATAATAAAGTATATATATTTTCATTGTAAACTATAATTCAATAAATTAAATTCTAGACAGTCGGACCATGAGCATGCTTGGATACAAAATTTCTCAAAAAAATCCAAACATTTTTAACTCAACTATTTTTTTTTTTTAATTCAACTTTAACTCAACTTCACTATCATCAATATTATCAATGTAATCAAATTATATCAATCAATCATTAATTCTTACACACTACATCACATTAATTAACTTTTTATCCACTCACATAATCTTAACTAACCATCACTTCAAATCTTCTCTCTCATACTTTACGTCAAATCAACTTTAATCATTTTATTTTAAATATTATTTTTATATCCATACTAATAACTAACTATACCAACGTTTTCAAAACTAACTAAACCAAACAAAAATATTCAAACAAAACCAAAAAATTTTTATATCCAATCATCCTCGCAACGATTAGACCATACATCCTTTATAACCATAATTTGTTTTGTAATTTCTCCCTAAATAGTTATTATATATATATATA